TTGTAGCCTTTTTATTATATGAATTTGAACCAGACCCCATATACAGTGAAACATCGATATAATAAGGTTGAAGGTGTTGGAAAAATGCTTAATTATATCTATTGTTTCGTTATATTTATAGAATATCAAAACCTTGATGCGACGAAACATGCAAAATTTTGGAAAAAATTAGCATAAGTTAAAGAAACCGTTAATCGTTATTTTATATTGAAAAATTGTACAACTTTAAGACTTTACGACGCTTAAAACGTCTTGTGAATGCCCTAATTGAGTTTTTCGCTTTCGCAAAGTTCGTTTTGTCGAGATGTCACTGTATGTATAAAGCAAGTAAAAATTTATGTTAAGAATACAACTTTCGCTAGAACGATACTTTTGTGCTTCCTAGTATACATTCACATACTGTGCTTTCGATGCAATATATATTTTTTTTTAATTTCGTTTTATAAATATTTCAGCGATACCAATTTAAAATTTTCTTAGCACTGTGACTTTAATGAATAAGATTTTTATGTACTAATTTTGTATTCATGCACCCAAGCGGAAATGGATACTTTTTTTTATAAAGGCAATTAAAAAAAAATATTTTAGTATTTCACCCAGCAACGTTGCCTAACTATGAATCGGATAACATACTTTCAGGGACCAAAAATAACTGTTATCTCGAATTTACAAATTGAAAACGTTGCCCGAATTCTGAAATTCAACGAAATCGTTGTTTCACAACAGTTATTAGATGAGAAATATATTTTATTTCGCCGATAAGAGTTATAACCCACATTTTATTTTTTATGTTGTTTGATAAGAGTTATTGCTCAACGTTTATTTTTTATGTTGGTTGATAACAGTTATTTTTACGTTGTGTGATAAAGTTGATGAAAATAAAATTGGAAGAGTGAAACAACTCTTATCAGACAAAGTAAAAATAAATGTTGGGAAAAAACTCTTATTGGCAACGGAAAAAATATTTCTCCTCCATAACAGTTATCAGGCAACTTAAAAAGTTAACGTTGGGTTGTAACTCATATTGGCAAAATACAAAATATTTCTCATCTAATAACTCTCATGGAGCAACGCTTTTGCGATACAACTTATAACTGTTATGTCCCTGCATCATTTTTATTATAAAGTATGTACTCGTACATTAGACCACAGCAGAAAAAAATACCATTCCGCGTACACCTACGAATCTGAAGTATTTTTTCAAGGGCATTTCGATTTTTTTTGGCCGAACATAGGGGTCGTATTTTACATTGTTCGCCATATCTTCAGCATTTACGGTGGAGTCTTAAAGTATGATAATTCGAAAAGAAATTTTTTTTGTGCCAAAGTTCAAACACTCCGTTCTAGTATTTACCACCAGATATCAGTTCTTATCCTAATGCCAGTAAATTAATGCCCACCAAAACCACAAAACTTTTGCTAAGAAAGTATTTCGATTATTCCAATAGAACCATTTTTATAAAAAACTTAAAAAGACGACTTCTAAGCTCGGCCAAAAACATATTTTTTTCCAAATCGCCTGGCAAAAACAATTCAGACTCAGGGGTGTAAGGTAAATTTTTTGTTTTTTGCTTTGTTTTGTAAGGTACGATTAGTTGTATTGTAGATACATAATTAAAAATTAAACAAATAAAAACCCTTACTACTGTTATGTGTCTCATGTCTCTAATCCTTTAGTAATTCTTACTACCTACTTTAGTAAGGATTGGACTTGAATTAGACAAGGATTAGAGACAAGAGCCACTTAACAGTAGTAAGGGTTTTAGTTTTTTGAATTCGTAATTGTGTCGTTATTGCAGAGGATCGATATGTATTTTTGTTCTGCCTTGTCAAATTATCCAATTGATTTACATAAATAAGTAAATGTTAATACGATTTCTTCTGCTAAAAAGGAAGCCATCTACACGAATGCAGATCTAACATTTTATGTATTCATGAAACACACTTTTTCCTATCAAATGTTTATTTTGCCAAATTTTTTTTCAACTCCTTTATTATTGGATATCAACATATTTATGTACGTATGTATGTATCTCTAATTAATTTAATAATTTCCTTGTTACTGCCACAGCTTGCGTTGATTACATTTTACTTGTCACTTTTTTGTATTATTGATATTTGTGTTCAGTGCTTAAGGTTCGTGTATGCGGCAATGGAAACAATTTAGTGGTCACTGTTGACGGTTGATAGTTTCAGCGATTTTTGCCTTGTCGCACATGTATACATATGTATATATTTTGTTCAAACCCAAATATTTGTAAAAAATTTTTCGACAAAGATATACATATAATACCAATTAAAGATTTTATGTTTTTAGAAAATATATTTCGAATTTTGAGTTTCCCATTATTTAAATGTAAGATAATCGCCCAACTGTATGTATGTTTTATAAGTTATAATTGCTTATGAAAATTGGGGTTAAGTATCTAAGATAATACGCATAATATGTATACTAAAAGCGAATATTTTGGTAAAAAAAATTACATTAGTACATGCATATACATGTTTTCGTTTATAAAACTTTATTGAATTGCAAATAGCTCATTTCATCTTTATTATAAGTACGTACGTATAACTTTTTATTAATTTCAATATTATACTAAATTAATCTCAAAACATCATTATATGTATACTCGCTTAAAACCACATAGTTCTTATTACTATTGTTTTATTTCGAATTTTTTATTATAAGTGTAAAAAAAAACTTTACATATTTAAGTACAAATATTTTTATAAGCATCGTTTTTTATTGCATTTTTACATATACGTAGCTAGTTAGCGTTTAATTGTTTAGTTAAATTAAAAATTTTTCAAAGTTGAAGCAGCTTGTTTTAGTTTAAGATACATTTTCAATACTTTTTGTCTGATTAAATTCGAAGCTTAAGTTAAGATTGTTAGATAAGTAGGCACTTTGATAGTAATAAAATTTTTTAGGGAAGCAAAAAGAAAATATTACTTATGACATATAAAAAACTAAGAAATTTGAAGTGAAATTTTGCTTTCAAAAGAAGACTAACCGATATGTTAGAGGATGTCACACAGTGTGGAAATTTAACTTTCTTGTGGCAAAATCTTACATTTAGAGAACGAGAACGGCTACGGAAATAAATTTAACTGTATTTTAAAGATTTTGAGATGCGGAGTTCAGGAAAAAAATTTTCCGGGTTAAACAATTGCCTTTACCTTTAAAATTACCCACAACAAAAAATGGTGTAAATTTTTTCCCCCTGGTTTGGCCTGAAAGCAGTAAGCTCTTTTTTTTTTGAGTTTCAGACATATAATATTGATCCCTCTTACTGGTCGGAAGAACCAAAAAACACATTTTAAATTTTTTATAACTTTATTGCATGCTGTTTTCTGAATAAAAAAATAATTGAAAACTTGAAAATGTTGCATTACAAGGTCACCTTACAGGTCATAGTAATTTTTTATTCGATGAGATGAAAAGAGAAATATTTTTTGTTTACCGAAACTTTGCATGTAAAGAACTAAAAAATTAAAATTTTTTCGGTTATTGTGACCACGAAAATGGATTCCTTGACGCAAATATAGCAAATCATATATGTACACACATGCAAATATACTTATATGTATAAAACATTTTTTTTAAATATCATTATCTGCCGTTTTCAGGTCAAAATATAAAAAAAAAACATTTTGTACCCTCTACATAGTCTAAAGATAAAGAAAACTTTTTTTATCCATTGATGCACTGAGAAAAAAAACGCGTTGTAAGAATAAAAAAATTGTATTTGATTACCATTTAAAAATGCTCGTATTTAAATCTAGTGAAAAGTGTTAACGAAATGGATTTTTCCATTATACATACACTACGTATATTCAATTCAAATACGCCTGTATTAAAATGAAGTATTTTTAACAGCACGGATGGCGTTTTGCACGTATCGGATGCTTTCATATACAAATGTATAGAAAGCTTACACAGCGGTGACAACACATACACACATACATGGTACGAACTAATCGCCCGCTCTAATGTTGATTCAAACTCAACATTTGAAAATACATTTATGTATATGTGTGGCTGTAGCTGAGTGTGCAAAGACGCTTGATACAATTGGTTGCGGCCAAGAGGGTCCGGGTTCAATTACCATCAGATGGGAGGGAACATGAAATAAATTCTTTTTTTCTTCTTAATTATAATTTCGTATAAGGAAAAAGCATCTGCGCACTTCACAACGACTTTTTTTATAATGTACATACTCAAATTTAAAACGTGTTGGGTTCGTGCTCTTTTATATGCGTATTTTTTTAAATTTAGCACGTTTTTTTTTTTTTAATTTTAAACTTTTTTTTCCTCAGTGTACCTTTTTTCTGAATTTTTCGTTTCAAAAGCTGTTAAACTTATTTCGCTAGCTGTTCTCGAAAAAAGGTCATTTCACACACTGTGTGTCGGTGAACCTTTCGTGGTTTTAAGGAAAAGGTCACACTTAGGACACTGTGGGCCCATTGTGGTGCCTAACTCTTGACTCCTTACCCTTCTTATACCTTAGAAGTAAAACCAATTTGTAGCCCTAATGAAACACACAAACTCGTTGATATCCAGTTCAGCCAAACATTCAAAAGAATAGTGGACAAACGAGCGCCAACGAGTGGCTTTTCTTTCGAATGCCTCCTCATCACGGCAGTAAGTAGTCGTTTGACTGTACACCCATCCTACTAGCGTGGGTTCCCATCAGGCAATGCTAGAGGGATATATCTACGGTTATCCCACCTAGGCCAAATATGCGTTGCTGTCCTGCCGACTATCTTGTACTTGCTCGTATCATGAAATTATTCTCCAGCCAGAGTTTGCGAGAAGATACTGCCTGGATCCCGAGCAGTAGTGATTGAGATAATAAGTATGGCGCTTTGAGGCGATTGAGAAACAGAGTTATGCCTGGGCGATAAAATATTAAACTCTACAAATCTTTCATTATATTCATATATTTTTATATGAATTTATAGAAGAACTGTTTTCTAAAAGCAGTCGCCCAAGCAATGGCAAATCTTTTGGCATATTTCTGCTAGGAAAATATATATACGTTCATAGGCTGCTTAGATCTGTAGGTTACTTCAGCCCACCACCCTAATCCTAATTATCGGTGCCGAACGAATGCAGCTACTTCTAGCTAAACGTGCAATTTAGACTGCTTATTTGAAGGATATGAATATTATGAAAAGGGTTAGCTAGGTTGAGTTAATGTATCCACATAGAGATAAAAATAAAAAAAAAACATTGACCTCAGTCTACTTGGAAACTATTTCTGGGCGAAATGCATTACGAGTGCAAGGGTATTCTGACCATGCCTTTCTTAGCTTTTAACCAGTTAAAGCTTTTGCTATTTCGGCATTATAATTTTGGAATATTTTTTCTCAGTGACCGCTGAAAGTCATTGAGGGGCTGCAGATCGAATTGGCTCACATTGCTATCGAACACAAAAGGCAAAGCAAGGTATGGAAAACTGAAGATGAAGAAATGTGGAATCATTGACAAGCCACTAGGTGTATGCATGCAGCGTATCGATAGCTGGACAGAGTTAGAAAAAAGGTGCCTCACCTCATTATCCTCCAAACCGCTGAGCATATCCTCATCTAATCCATTCGAACAGTGTCCTGACAAACTTTAAACAGAAGCTAGGTTATGGCTCTCTGGGAAGTTCATTTGACCGTCCCAGATTCGCCATGGGCCGAATGCTGTCCTAGTTTTAAAAATCGATCGCTGAGATAATATGTGACACATTTGTCCAATATAAGTTTGAAGGTAGTCCAAACTACATCCTCTTTATATTCATAGAAACCACCTCGAGAGAACCTTATTAGCTAGATAATTAGCTAAGCATTTTCCTGAACATTACTATTACTAATATAAGCCTGGTTAGAAAGAGATCCGATTTCACCGAAAGGTGGACAAACATTGGCCAGTTAGTTCTTAAAGTATTATAAATGATACCAGTGTACTGATTGCCGTCTAGCATAAATTTCGACTTACTTTATGTTTAGGCGTTACACACCTGATCAGTATATTTACTACTTGACTAATCGCAAGCATCACTATATGGAATACCCAACAACAGTCTGTTAGGCTAAATTTGAGATTGATAGACGTTTCTCAAAAGGCGGCACCTCCATTGAACCTACAGTTAAGCTTCGAACCGTCCATGTCTGTTGGGCCTTCTTTCCTTTCATCAGGGCATGTGAGTGAAGAAAGTGCTGAGAAAATCTAGGTAAATAGTGATTCAAGTTGACATCGACGAAATTAAAGTTTCCGGGAATTTTAATGTGTCCAGACATTGCACCAGTTAAGCCACTAGAAACTCTGAATAGAGCGATAGTCGATAGTGCGCGTAAGGGAGATACTGGCCTTAGACTGAATATCTCAGCACATCCTTTATTTCAGTCAATCAATCTTCCCTCATTCTTCATATCAAACCTCTTTTACAACTAAAACATGGCCACTTAAATGACATTTTTGTGCGTGAGCGCTCCATTTTCTAAAGGTAATTAACTAAATGTCAATATAAAAATATCCAATTAGCCAGTAAAATGGAGTTACATTTAATGATCTATCTAATAGAAGCTCTGAGCATAGAGTAGTCTACATACATATGTAAAAAGGTAGGTAAAAAGTTATTGAAAATGCTATTAGTATTAAAAAGGTAGCAGATACTATTTTAAAAGGCATTTTGTGTTAGTTTTTTTTTTCTTAATTACAAAATGTTTTAATTGAAACTCTTTTTGCTATCAGCTCCATTTCTTAACATAAATGGCGTGGTTCCAGCATTACTATGCATTGAAGCAGTATTGTGTCGGTTTGTTTTTTACAGCATTGCACACTTTTTTATCACAATTTTTATTCCTATAGTTTTCTAAAATTATTGCGAACTTATCATTTGCTTTCTTACACCCGCGTTGATTCTTCACTCATGTGCTTTCAATCCCGGTCTTTCAGACCCAATACTCTCCTGAACCCCGACAGCGTTCTACTGGCGCTAGTATTTCCCGTAGCGAATGCGTACATATTCACATTCCCGTTCGTTTGTTGATATGTGACGGGAAAGTCTGTCGGGGCCAGGAGTAAACCTCACGTCCGCACAAATTTGTACACAATCAGAAACACCATAAACGAAATGCCCACCAATATGACTGCTGTCACAACTTTCGCACACGTATTCAAGCCCGACTCGTTTGGATTTAATGGCCGCGAACTGGTACGCGTATGCGAGCGTCTTCGTTTTGTGGCAAGACCGCGCGCGAGTGCCGGAAACGCAAGCGATTGAGTAAATGTCAGTTTATGTATAGATTCACTCAGCGAATAGGGTCCCACTGAACCACGCGCCGCTGCACGCAACAACACATATTCGAGATCCAGCGCATCGAAGAGTGAGTAACGCGCCGTCATTGTGGAGGAACGGCGCCGTTCGTAGCGCGAATCACGCTCACGATCCGATTGCGGCTGCAGCCATGGGTCGGAGACGCGCTGCTGTGAACCCGTACCAGCGCCGGCAGCCAGACATGCTGCCACAGCAGCGGCGGAGGATGAGGAGGAGCCAGCGGCTCCGCCACCGATTGCTCCCACCGCTCCGCCGCCTAAGCTGACCGCTGCGACGGAGGTCAGCGACGACGTCGTCGACGAGGACGCAGAGCAAAGACGCAAATTCGTCGCCAGCCCATTATCGTGGAACTCTGTAGCATCTTCGATGGATGTTTGATCGGGTGAGGTTTGTGCGCGTTCCAGAGCGGCGGCATGTTTCATGCGCAACGCAAATAAACGCGCATGATCGGGATGTAGTAGTGCGCTTGACTTGCGTCGATAGTTCGCCGCGCCAACGCTGATGCTGGCGCGTGCACCAGCGCGTGCGCCACCCAGCGAGAGATTGGGTGAACCTTGCGTAGGGGTAGTGGCGGGCGAAACATTGCAGGAGTTGCTGCCTAAACCTAGGCAGCCGTCGCCGCTGAGCAGCGAACAACCTGGTGGTGGCGGCGGCAGTGCGTTGGGCGAGGGCGACGCTTGCACCGAATCGATGCCTGAGTCACCGGCATGCAAAGTATCACAGTAAAGCGAGCTGCGACGCCGTCCGCCTATGTTGCTGGTGCTGCTGTTGCTGAGCGTTAAATGATTGCCATTGCCGCTGCTATTGTTGTTGTGACTTAAATTAGTACTGTTGTTGTGATTGTTGCAAACGCCAGATGTGCCGCTACTGGTGGTGGTAGTGGTTGTGGAACTGCTCGCGCCGGCGCTGTCCCCAGTCGTACTGCTGCTGCCAGCGCCGCTGCTGCTGCTCGTACTCGTCTCGGCAATGACAGGGAAAATGAAGGACTGGCCGTCCGCCTCGCCGCGCGGTGAGTCCTAGTTGAGAGCGAAGGGGAGAGATAGAGAGGGAAAAAAATTGGTTAGGGAATTTCTGTGCTGGTAATATAGAGTTGGCACATTTAAATATTCAGTTAAAGGGGTGGCTGGGTGTGCGCTGAGTAAAAAAAGGCCGACAGTGGAAACCGAATGACCAAATGTGAAGGTGATTTAGACAAGTTAATGGTAATAAATATACGAAAAACTGCTAAATGTTAGTAATAAGTGGTATAGTACTGTTGTTGCTGCAGATATCTTTCGTACAGGTGCAGTAAAACCTCGATACAACAATATACATAAATTCGTTTTAATTTCATAGTTATTTACAGCTTGTGAGTTTGTCTGAGCGATTTACTGCTGCGAAGATATCTAAAATTTTGAAAAAAGTATCTTATTAACGAAATAATATTTTTTTTTGGTTTACTATAGAAAAACGAAATTATTTTAGAGAATTGTTGCACTGAGGATCGGTATATCGAGGTTTTGTCTGTGTACTAGCGTTTGTCGTGGTTAGTAAAATGTGTTGGAAATTAGCGATTTAGTGCATTTTAAATAAGTTGAAATAAATTGTCCAAAACAGCTACAAAAATCAAAGTTTTCAGGTTTAAATTTGAAAAAATTCCATTTAATTATTATTTGTACAAAAATAATGAACCATAAGGACTTGGTTGAACAAGGTTAATAGCAGAAAGCGTAGTATTTCGTATTTAAGTATTTTTATAACCATAACGGTATTTTTGTTTAGTTGCATACATTTTGGGAAATGGTATAATAAATTAGTTCTATCGAAAAATTAAATAAAAAAGCACCATGGAAACATAAAAAAAATTTGAAAAAAAATTTTTGTTTGCTAAAAAATTTGTTAAGGTTTATTAACCTCATTTGCATTTGTTAGGAGAAAAAGGGATCCAAAAAGTATTACAAAAACATGCATCGTACAAATATACATTACGTATACTTATGTATGTATAAATTTAGTTTTATAGGCAACTTTAAATTTTTAGAGAAAGAAATTATGTATTTATTTTTAAATTGTCACGCCTACCCGTTGGCCTTCAGGGCCGCTGTTACGTCGCAACTGCACGAAGCCCTCCTGTCGCAAAAGTGGCTACAGTTTTTTATTCACCACAATACATCACAACGAATCACAATAACCAACGCCAAACCAAGAAAACAACAGAAAGTACATAGGTTTTTAATATAATAAATGTAAGCCAAAATAATTAAAATCAAACAAGGACAGTTAGCAATGATTACAGAAGTACACTACATACTCGTATGCATGTATATATGTATCTACATACATATTTATGTAGGCTACAACATGTGAATGTGTTGTGTGTTATGAGCCTAACGCTACATACATACATACTACTTATTTCGACATGAAAATTGCATATTAGATAAGGCTGGCCGATTTTAGTCTATTTTCGGGGTTAGCACGCCATGGTTTTGTTTCTCTAAAAACTATACAAAGCATTTTTTTAGAATATCTCTTGTTCTTTCACATGCCGCAAGTAGACGAGGAGGCCATGTTTTATTCGAGGAATGTTACGACTTCAATAAAACTGTAAGATCATACTCGTAGTATTTTTGCCTTGCTAAATCCGAATATGCTCTTTTTGAAAAGCTACTTAACAGTTTTTCGACGTGCTAGTCACGAATTTTATGTCAAATTAAAACGTTGACAGTTGACAGCTGTCAAATGGACTACTTTGTTAAAATGTCACATATTAGATTCTCAAATACGCTTGTCGCGAATTTTATGTCAAGTTAAAATTGCCAGCTGCTAAATGAACTATAAAATTTTCTAACATCATAGATTTGCTTGCCGATGAAATATGTTATTCTACAAGGAAAATTAAAAGATACGTATTCTTTCTTTGTTTGTAAAAAAATATTTTTAATAAAGATATGCACATATCAATTTTGAATGATAAAATACATAAAAAAGGTACAAATTTTTTTGCCTGCCATTTTTATATTAATAAAAAATTACTTTCTTTTCCTGATTCTTATAGGTGGCCTAGCTTACATTAAAAATTCGTTTGATATTTGTAAAAACTTTTAAAATTAACAAAATGGCGGCCAATTTTGTAAAAAGAAAAAAAAGTTGATTTTCACGAAAAAGCCATCTTTTTTCCTTCAAAATTTTACAAAATTTTTTGCCAGTATGAGGAAGAATTGATATAAGTTTGTAGCGGGCTAAACAACTTTTGAGGTCAGGAGATTTTTTTTTTTCAAAACGAAAAAAATAAATTATTATAAATTTTTTTCTTAATTTGTTGGTTTTTTGCCGGCTCGTGGTAAAATTTTGTATGGAATTTTAATTAAAAACATGTTTTTTTAATTTTTCTCCAATATATTTCGGTTACACCGCGGTAACCGTCTTCAGTTTATTTATTATATTAATAAACAGGGAACGGATTTTATGGAAATGGCCTTTTTTTCTGCTAAAGAGATAGAGTATATTCGATTAAGAATGTCCACGATTTAGCTTTCCGTGATTCCATATATTCACATTTGATGTTGCCTTTTTTTGCCTTTTTTAAGATATTCGCCTTTTTTTTGCCTTTTTTAAGATATTTGCCTTTTTTTGCCGTTTCTACCTTTAAAAAAGTGATTATTGCATTTACAATTTTTTTTTTTTTTAAGATGAAAAAATATACACATGCCCATGCATGAACGAAAGACACAAGATCACGCCAAATTGGTGTTGGAAAAATTCATAGCCGTTTTCTCAGCTAACGAAGGCTTGGAGACAATAAGGGGTGTGGATAAAATTGTAAAGGGCGAGGAAAACGCCCTTATTCCTGATAATATCAACGTTTCAAACGTTCCATATTTAAATTGGGCTCTACTCGTATCAACTTACGTCGAGCGCACATTTAGTACATTCAAGGCTTTTCTTCGCGAAAATCGAATGAAAAAAACTAGTTCATAGTTTTTCTCTTTTTACTTGTAATATAAACATTTTTAAAATAAATGTATTTTTTGATTGTTCTTCGTATTTTCTGTCTTTTTTTCGTGCCTTATTTTGCTTTTTTTGCAATACCTGGTGCCTTTTCCTGCCTTTTTCGCTATTTTGTTTTGCCTTTTCCAGCCTATTTCGTTATTTTATTTTGCCTTTTTTATAGGTTTTTAGGTCCTAAAAATCCGTTCCCTGTTTATAAATATTAGTAATACTCAGTTCAGACAAAGCTACCACAAGCGTTGGTAACGATTTTTAGTTTTACGTCTCAAAGTTTAATTTTAAATGTAATGTAAGTTAACAGCTCTTTTGTGTTAAACTTTACTATTTATTTTTTTTTTGTTTATTCATACGTTTATTAGTTTTTTGTTGTTTTGTTAATGTTTTATATTTATTGCTGCGCAGGTAAATAAACGAAAAAATCCCCTGAAGATGCTAAATTTCTTAGCGAAACGTCGGGAAAAAGCTAAATAAAGTCTTTTTATTTATACAACGGTTAGATCAGAAAAGCCTAACAAATTTCACAATTTCAAAAAAAATAAACATATATTCTTTTATTTTGGAAAAAAATCTCCTGACTTCAAAAATGGTTTAATAGCCCGCTTCAAACTTTTACGGATTCTTCCTTATACTGGTAAAAATTTGTTGTAAAATGTTGAAGAAAAAATTTAGCTTTTTCGAGAAAGTTAACATTTTTTCTTTTTACAAAATTGGCCCCCCTTTTCTTAATTTTAAAAGTTTTTGCAAATTTCAAACAAATTTTCAAGGTAATCTAGGCCACCTATAAGAATCAGGAAAATTTTTTTTTTAATTAGAAAAAATGGTAGGCAAAACAAAATTTTTTCTTATCGTTTTTTTAATTTTTATCATTCAAAATTGATTTGCGCATATCTTTATTAAAAATAGTTTTTTTCAAAAAAATAAAAAATACGTATCCTTTCATTTTCCTTGTAGAATAACATACATATTTCATCGGCAAGCAAATCTATGATGTGAAGTTGTCAGCCTGCCTGATTTGAGATGGATTTCGCAAATAGAGAAATTTTATTTTGAAATTTTCAAACTATGAAGAAATTGCTTAAATTCAAATTTCTCGGTGAAAAGAGATATTTGAGCAAACCTTTAAAATATCATGTATATTTTTTTGATTAACCAAAATGCCGTTATGCTACGTAACATCGAAAATAGGCCAAAACCCGATTTGTCGCTTTTTTAGGTTAGGATATTTAAAAAACCTGATACGACAGAGCTAATCCAAGATCAGATTCCTATGTATGGACCCAAAATATGTATACTAGAAATAGCTAGCCTTATATCGGATAAAGTCTAAATTTGAAAATTGGTTGAATAGTGATCTCCAGGGCTGGCAAATATGTATACAAAAATTAGTTTAAGCACTTTAGAAAGCTCGATAAACAAACAAAGTATGCTCATAATAATGAAATTTTATTTCTATCTTACAGTATCGAGCCATACCCGCCAAAATAACGTAAGTGAAATTTTTATCAAAATTCTATTTTTGATGCAGAAATGCATCTTGATGCTCTAAGAATATTTCTGCATCAAAAAGAAAATTAAAAAAAAAAATATCACGTTACTTTGGCGGTTAGGGGTCGATATTATTTTTACTCAATAAAATCGGTATCAAAGTATAAAATTACATGATTTTTTCAATTACACAACCACAAAAAAAATGTGTCGAGGTTCGGGGATTCCCTATGTATTTTGATACGCTGAACACCAATCTGTCCTGTCACATTTTGCGGTTAGAAAAAAAATCAGAAGTGATGGATCAAAACGCATCAAAATACATAAGAAACAGATACATAGTCTGATCCCCGAAACCCGATTATGTATGTGGCTGTGTTATCAATAAAAAAAATAGGCCCTCTCATTCTCAGGCCATTTAAATATTGAATAATTGGAAACACTTCTTTACTCATCCTTAGATGTAATTGGATAGATCTTCACCCTCACCCTCTGTAATGCCAACTATCAAACAACCAAAATTTTCCTTAATGAACGCCAAGTCTGTTCAGATTCAGTTCAAGCAGTTTTTTAGTTTGGCAAATACGTAGCTTTTCCAGGTTCATCGATCAAATCCTTGAAGTCTCATCTGTCGTTTCATATTCCCCGAAAATGCGAAGTATGCGCACGTGTCAAATACGTGAACAAATAAACGGATCTTCCAGATATATGCCAAATAAGCTTTGCGAAACTTTTGCTTAGATTTTCCAGCCCGGGTGATATCATTATTCAACTCGTCTTTGAATATGTGAAATTCAACCAGAATATTGCTTTCATACAACCAATGTGACTACTAATCGGCAGATATGTAGTAGCCATGAACGAAAGACACAAGATCACGCCTTCCCGAAAGAAAGAAAAAAGTTTTTTTTGTAGCTGTTGAAATCTCGACGCCATCTTTGTTGGAAGAAGTAAACAACGAAGAGAACAAAAAAAACCGAGTAATTGTTGAACGCATGAATAATAATTTTTATTATGCAAATTCTTCTATAAATCATGTCGTTGTGTTAAATTATTCTTTACCCTGTGTGTGCACACGTTGTCACAAGCGAAAATTAAGAAAATTGCAGTAAAAAGCCACCACCAAATTGTAAACTATGAACAAATGTAAACAAACGGCTAATGTCAAAGTCGCCCAACTTTTTTCCTAAATGCGATTATAACGGGCTACTAAGAAGAAGGCGTGATCTTGTATTTTTGGTTCATGGTAGTAGCTTCATTTCTTCCATTTTCATTTTCATAAATTTGAGAGCACTAAATTTTCACCTACCTGACTGGGCCACACTTGCAATAGCGGTAGCGAACATGTCGGTTTGTTGTAGGTGCTGCCATTCTCATGCCCGCCCGGTGCGCTTTGCGCTAAGCTGGTATAATGCAGATGATTGAAGCGCTGTGCATCGCTGCCGGGTTTCGTGGTACGCGTGGGGCTTTCATAGCCAGTCGAATCTTCGGATGATGTTGTTTTGGGTGTACGCCAAAATCTTTTCAGACGCAGTTCGCGTCTTTTTTCTTGTTTCTGAAATGGAGAGGTTTTACTAATTAGTCACATATAATTTGCGAGATGAATAGTGAGTAAATAGTGAATATTAACTGAAGTTAATTCTTGCCTATGCGAACTCATGCACATTTCTAAGTATGCCTTAATTGAAAAAGGAAACTGGGGAAAAGAGATGTTAAGGATTTAGTTAATTACAGCTTTTAAAATTATATAATGGGACTAGTTACCGTACGTGCCTTAAGATATGTAAAGCACAGTCATGATAGAGATTGCCATTCGGGAGACTCCAGTCTAATGCGAAGCGAAAATATGTTGAAAATTTCAAGGAGGCTATTGGAAAAATCTAAAGTTTCAGTAGCCTCGGAGCCTTGAATAGCATATGCCAGGAAAATCCAACCATCAACCATTGGATGCTGGAACCCAGCATAGATTACAATGCAAAAATATCAGTAGGATTTCCCCCAAATGATAGATAGGAGCAGTATTGCCAGAACTTTTTGGGCCGACAGGCTAAATTGGCCAAAAAAAGCGGCTAAAATGTTTCAACTAAAATTCACATGTTTTATTTAAATAACTTAGAAGTTGAAAGACTAGTAAATTAATTAAATTAATTCTAAAAACACTTCTTCTCTTCTTCTTTTTTGGCGCTGTAACCGCCTAAGCGATTTTGGCCGAGTTCAGCAAAGCACGCCAGTCGTTTCTCCTCTGTGCCAACTGACGCCAATTGGAAACGACAAGTGAAGCCAAGTCCTTCTCCACCTGATCTTTCTATCGCAGTGGGGGCCTCCCTCTTCCTCTGCTACCACCAGCGGGTTCCGAGTTGAATACTTTCAGAGCTGGAGCATCGGTGTCCATTCGAACGACATGACCAAGCCAGCGGAGCCGCTTTATTTTAATTCGCTGCACTATGTCCATATCGTTGTAAAGCTCATACAGCTCATTGTTCCATCGTCTGCGGTACTCGCCGTCGCCAACGCGTAAAGGCCCGTAAATCTTCCGCAAAATCTTTCTCTCAAACACTCCAAGAGCCGCCTCATCGAAAAAAACAGGTACTGGTAAATTCATAAAGCTGATTTTTTACCAAACACCATTTTGATTTACCAAACTTCAAACCTTGTGCAAAAATTATGAAAATTCTTCGAAATTTGAAACTCTTTAATCCGCATTCTTTAGAAAAATTATGGTGTGCAGTTTTATAGTCTATTAAATTTTAATAGAGTATACTAGTGCAAATTTTAAGTACATAGCTATGACCCATCATTGATTTTTAACTTTTTGTATGACGGTGTTAGGCATTTTTTTCCACACAAAGTATATTCTACCATTTTTTATATGAAAAAAAATGCGGAACACCATCAACAAAGAAATTGCCAAAATTAACGGCATACGCTAGTTGCTTTAAATTTGCACTATTATACTACAATTTAAAAATTTTTAATGATGATGAGCAAAAAGTTAAAAAGTTTTCGTCAACATTTGTAAAATTTTCATAATATTTGCACACAGTATGAAATTTGGATTTAAACTTTTTTTAAGTAATCAGCTGCAATTTTAAACTTTTCCCAAAGATAAGGCTTGTCATTTCTAATAGATTTTGGGTCCGTAAATTTGTACAAAAGGAAACTATTTAAATTTTTAGAAAATACGGCCTATAGCAAAACTGGCTGAAAAGGCTAATTTTTTTGCACAACGGCTGACAAATCGGCTGCCAGCTATTTGCCATAGCAACCGGCTAAATCTAGCCGGAAAACGGCTAAACTGCCAACACTGGATAGGAGTCGTACATAATGATTGTAGTTACATATGTAAATAGTGTACATATTATCATTAAAGCTGAGATTTGAAAGGAGGAGCAAGGACCCAACGACAGCCGGTGGTTTTGTAGCTCAATCAGTCATATCATAGTAGCATGGTTTCCACTGGAATAGCCGCTATCTTCGTCAATAGCCTAACGGCTATAACACAATTTAACACTTTCGCTATTTTGATGCCATATGGCGTCATGCTTTTTTGAATACTCACAGATTTAATTGAGCTTATCTGAAATTATATTTTTATATGCAACGCTGTAATGGGAAGTTTTATAAACTATATTTTAATACGGTATTGTTATTTTTATCCTTAGTAGATGAAGAATTTCAATTTTAAAACTTTACTAAAATATCGATTTTCTTCTGCTTAGAAAGGTCTACATTAAAATACTATATTTTTCCAAATAACCAAATAAATTAAAAACAAATAAATACGCTATAGTCTCCAAAATAGTGTCAAATATTGCTGGAACTTGTAATTTAATTTAAACAAGTAAGAAAGTCTAAGTTCGGGCGGAGCCGAACATTAAATACCCGGCGCAAGTATTAAATATATGTTTTTTCACCTTTCCGAAACCTTCCGCTAGATGGTAAGCCGGGGTGTATCAATTTTGAGTAAATTAGCGTCCTTCAATTTCGAAATATTGAAGTTTCAAGCATTTCTGAAATTTACCGTTATATGAGAAGCGGCCGTTATTTTAGTCCGATTTCAATAATTTTCAACGTTTTGCTT